GGCCAGACGCTGCGAAAGAGCGCCACCATCGATTGCGCAAGAGAAGGGGGCGCTGGCCGCACGAGCATGTCGGACGAGCAGTGGTGGCTGCACCCCTACGTGATGTTCTCCCGCGCCACGCGCAGGCGGAACACGCTGATCCTGCGGCCACCTCCGCGAGAGCTCCTGGAGCGAGGGCCGCCAGCGCCCTTGCGGAAGGCGCTCGAGGAGTTCGACAAGAGAGCGGAGTGGTCCAGGGCGGAGGCGGAGCAGCCCGCGGCAGAGCTGAGTTTCGTATTGCCTCCCGCGTGAGCGCGGTTGCGCCCTGCTCGAAGCCCGCGGGGTTGTCCCAGCGGCTTGGTCTTGCGCGCCAGCGGTTCGCGCGGTTGCCCCGGCGTCCTGGCCCGCGTGGTTGTCCCAGCGGTTGCGCGACGTGGCAAGTAGAAAACGCGCCCGTGTTGGCCGAGGCGGCGACGGCGCCGAGGGAAATCGACGTGCGCGCTCATGCAATAGAAAGGGGGGAGGTGGCGGGCCGCGAACAAACAGGGGGGCGAGGATGGTGGAAACGCAGGGGGCGGGAGGGTCGCTTGCGCCAGGGCGAGAAGAAATAGACGCAGGAGAGACAGTAAGGATGCCTCACCAATCGCGAGGCCGACGGTGAGGGCCTTTTCCAGATTCGCCGAGAGGATTATCATGTGGGGTCTTTCCGTCGGAGTATTCTTGGTTAGCTATTATACACATATGCATAGAACATCAGCAGAGGTTTCGTGGCGATTTCAAAGCCAGAGCGCCAAACAACACGCCAACGCATTTTTTTCCAGAGAAGCGTGCGTTCGCGCTCTTGCGAACTCTTCAGACAACCATAAGTTTGAAACGCATTTTGACTGAATTCCGGCAGACGGGCCTCTCGCGCCGCGCGCCGAAATCATTCGCGCGCCTTTGCCCGCGTGCTGGGGGGTGGGGGGGTGGGGTGGGGGGGGGTGGGGTGGGGGGGGCGGGGCGCGATCCCTGGCAAATAATACCACGCGTGCCTCTCCCGCGCGTCGGCCGCGCGCGCATGTCAGACTTTTTCCAGAACCTTCATCACCGACGCGGGGATGCCGTCATCGTCGTCGGCGTGATCAGCGTCCGCGCCCGCTCCCGCCGCGCCGTCGTCGTGGTCAACATCGATGCCAGCGTCGCTACTATCGTCATCGTGGCTACCGTTATCGACGTTGCCATGATGCCGCGCCCGCCCAAGTCGCCGACTCTCACTGAAATGCCCGCTGGGATGTGCCCAGCGGTAAGCGCCGCCGCGGCCGCGTCGGTCGCGCCAACTAGCTGGCCGCTGCACGCGCGTGCATGCGCGTTGGCGCGGCCGCAGGGATCTACCAAACGTCGCCAAACACTCATCGCAATCGCCACCGTGTGGGTTTTGCAAACCAATTTGCGGGTGGGTGGGTGGCATGTGTGCAAGGGCATGGAATGTGCCATCTCGTCTGTATAAATAAGTTTAATAGTTCCCTTTTCTAACCAAAGAACGGATTCGACCCCCCCGGGATTTGCATCACCGTTTTCGTATTGCAATTTGCATGCGGGTCTGCCCCATCGCCCACAGTGAATAGGAACTCGTACCATCGCAGCTCAACCGGCATCGCCCCCCCCCCCCCCGCCAGCGTTTGCACGCGATACCATGCGCGCGCATTCGCTCATCAAAATTCAGAAGTTTCCAGGGACCCGTGGCAGCATATGCGACGAAGTTCACACGCGCGCATGGTCGCGCGCGCATGCCGGAAATCTTTTTACAAACCTTAGAAGGGTTTCGGAATCGAGTGTCCAAACGCATCTAAAAACAAATGGTCTCGCAACGCATGTTCAATGACAGCTTGTGCGCGCGCTCTTGCGATTATATATATATGTATATTGAAAACCACATATTTTTCAACCTGTTCAAAATGCTACCAAACGGTCTTCGCGCGCGCATGTCGAAACCGTTCGAACTCCCTTGCGCGCGCGCCGTCGCGAAAAAATCTTTTGCAATAAATAGGACGAAGTGCGCGCGTCATTTTTCTGGAATTCTGCCAACGGGGCCTTCTCGAGTCGTGTGCCGACATCATTCGCGCGCCCTTGCGCGCGTGCTGGGAGGGGGTGGGGTGGGGGGCACGATCCGTGTCAAATAACATCGTGCGGGCCACACTCGCGCGTCGGCCGCGCGCGCATGTCGAACTTTTTCCAAAACCTTCATCATTGGCGCGGGGACGCCTTGTTGTCGTCGGCGCGTTCAGCATCCGCGCCGTCACTCGCTGTGCCGTCGTCGCTGTCAGCATCGTCACCACCATCGCTACTATTATCACCGTGTCTACCGTTGTCGACGTTGCCATAATACCGCCCGCGCTTTTGCGGTTTCTTTGGGGAGCCATGCGGTTTCCAATATGTTCATGCAATTCTGCCAAACGGATCTCTCGCGCCGCATGCCGACATCATTCGCGCGTCCTTGCGCGCGCGCGGGGGGGGGGCACGATCCGTGTCAAATAACATCATGCGGGCCACGCTGGCGCGTCGGCCGCGCGCGCATGTCGAACTCCCTTCAAACATTCATCACCGACGCGAGGACGCCGTCATCGTCGTTGGCGTGATCCGTATCCGCGCCGTCAGTGGCCGTGCCGTCGTCGTTGTCAGCATCGTCACCACCATCGCTACTATCATCACCGTGTCTACCGTTGTCGACGTTGCCATAATACCGCGCCCGCCCGAATCGCCCAGTCGCATTGACATTCCCACTGGGATGTGCCCCGCGGTCAGCGCCACCGCGGCTGCGTCGGTCGCGCCAAACTAGCTGGCCGCTGCGCGCGTGCATGCGCGGGCTATCGCGGCCGCAGAGATGCACCAGCCAACGCCAAGCACTCATCGCAATCGCCACCGCAAATGTTTGCAAACCAATCTGCGGGTGGGTGGGTGGGATGTTTGCGCGAGCAGTGGAGTGGACAACTTCAAGTTGAACGTTGATCAAGTGCACCACGTAGAAAACACCGCGTATTTTTGCACTAATTTCGTGTTTGGGTCCACGGTGGCTAACATGTATGTTGTATTGTTTTTGTTCGGGGTGATAAAAGGGGGTTTGTCCTTTGTCCTGGTTGGCTGCCGGTCGCCTGGTGTGTTTCTTTTAATATGGAACAGTGATAAGACCCTCCCCGACTTGGAAAAACACGTTCGAGGTGGAGCTCCCTGCACCAGTCACGCCGGACAGGGTTGGTGGGAGTGCAGGTGCTTCCCAATTTCAGGAATCGTTTTTTTTTTTTTTTGGGTTGTTTTTTTGTGTTTTTGTTTTTTTTGTTTATTTCTTTTTTTTTGTCTTCCCCCGCCAGGGGACGTGTGTTATCCCGATTCAGTTTTGACGCCTTCTTGCCTCGTGTATGTGCACACTTTTTTCCGACAGGCGGGTATTTTTTCCGCCGTGGCCTTCCCAACCCTCGTACCCAGTCTTTCCCGCCTCCTCCTACTTTTTATCATCCTCTTTATCCATTCCCTGTCTTCATCCACCCCTCCCTTTCCCACGCGCACGAGAGTCATGGCGCGTGTGTCACTTGTATGTATTTTCAATGAAAAAATGTAGCAGTCGAGTTCGCTGTTTCGAGCGAGTCAGCGTGCCCCGCCCTTTGCATCTTCTCCACAGCGTAAGAAGAATTGGTGGCGCCACTTATACTTGTGGATGACACTCGGTCCCACTCAGTCAACGATGGGCGATCGCGCGCGCTCCCGCTTTCGACGAATTGGGCAGGGGGGAGTAACGTGGCCGTGCGTGGGCAGGAACGGGACTTCAGAAGATCCGTGCCCAGCGCTGCGGCGAGACAGTCGTTTAGCATGCCCTCGGGCGTCCAAACTCTCGAGGACCGCGGCGCGACGGCGAAGCATTTGCCGCGCCGGAATATCACTGCAACGTTCGCGCACAGGCTGTGTGGCGAATTGGGCGAGGACGGCACGTCCCGCTCTCTCGTGCAGCCCCGCTGCCGCGGCCGCTCTCGTGCGGTTCGGCGAGCGGAACATGCGCTGCGCCCCCGCGGATACGCCACGTCCAGGCGAACTACAGTGGAGGCCCATGCCAAGAAGCACCGTGCTTGCCTCCAGGGCGCCCTGGGTTTCTTGACATCCAAGATCAATGGTCGTCCTGGGGTCTCAGGGTTAGGTTTCTGGTGGAAGGTTTCTTGTGGACTGGCCACCACTGTATGCGCGGAACTTGGTGAGTGGCATGTTTTGCACCGTGCAGAGCGCCGCGCGGATGATGGAATGACATTTTCGTCCCCGCGCGCGCACACGAATGGGCGAGCGAAGGATGTGCGCCGCACCCAAAAGCGGGATCTCAACTCTCAGGAGCTATGACCACTGCTTGAGCGACATTTCGCCTTTTCCTGCTGAATGTACGGCCCCTCACGCCGCACATTTTGCAACGTCGACGCCTAAAATGTCCAGGTTGAGAGGGATCACGTATTTTTGCATTATGTGTGAAGGCAGGAAGAGACGTAATGTGTTGACCCCCCTGATGGTCATGCGTATGTGTATGTATATCTGTATATGTAAAGGCATATGTATACCTGTATGTATGTATGTATGTATGTATGTATGCATAATATGCATATGTACACCAAGTCTACAAACATATACACATATACATCTATATTTATGTATAGGTATATGACTATCTGTATATATACAATAACACATATTATCGATGGAAGTGCACATCATAGTTTGATGGCATGCGTCAGATGAGAAGGAGGTGATGACTGATGAACATATGATTGCGCGCGACAGTCGTTCCCGATTATACAGGCCCCATTGAGCACTTGTCCATTCTGCAGGATCAGGCTCATCTGTTGGGTATATATATACACACATTTTTACATATATATATATATGTATATCGTGGGATCTATCCCCGAGGGCGGTAGGTGTGGAGCACGTGATGGCAGACGTGCCAGAGTCATACGGCTCACTCACGTTGCGCACGCTCGAATCGGAGGTCGGGAGCAATTGTTGGGGAGGAGGGTGTTGTAGGGCCAAGCATCACGGTGCTCGTCCTGCTTGTCTGCGGCGTCGGTAGGGCCAGCAATGCAGGCGCGCTCGCTCCGGTGGCCTGAACGTGCAGTATCAAGCCGAAGGGCCTGGATCTGGTGGCGCTGCTCTGATAATTCAGTGGCTGTGTGGGCGCAAAATGGGCTCGAGCATTGGAGAAGGCAGCCGGCAAGCAGGTACCAGGTACCCCACGCGCGCTCTTTCTAGGCTGGACGTGAGACCGATGTGAGTGCCCTCGCGCTCTTGCCCATCATGCCTGCTCTCTCTCTCTCTGTCTTCGCCCCCCCTCCTCCCCTTCAACTCTCGGCTCCGCTGATGCCTGACCCAGTCGGGTACTGCGTATCGTCCGTCGGTGGTGGCCTAGTGTCGGCGGCGAGCGAAGGGTGAAATGAGAAGGACAAGGCCTTCTCAGAAGGTTCGGAAGCCCCCCAGCCTTCTGAGAAGCCTTCTGAGCCGTCCCCGAAGACGCAGGAAACCTCTCGGAAGGCGCAAAGGCTCCTGAGAAGCCCCGCCGCCTTGTGAGAGAGCCTTCTCCTTCTCACTCTCCCCCCTCGCTCGTCGCCGATAGCGAGTAGAACAGTCCCCCAGTCAGTGCCTGCACTTGGATATCATGGCGGGGGCCATGATATTTCCCCAGATTTCATGGCGCCTCTTCTTATTTCATTACGTCCCTGGCCCCCCCTCTGGGCCGCGCACATGCCGCCAGCCATGATTTGCACCCCCCCCTCTTGGACACCCCCCTCTTGGCCGCTCCCGAGAATGGGTCCTAGCGGAGACTGTAAGTCTGTGTCAAGGTCGCGGGCCGATCTCGTTGGGCGGCCGGGTTCCCGGCTCCGGGCTCCAGGCCGATCTTGGTGAGCGGCCAGGTTCGCGGGGGGGGGGAGGAGATCTCCGGCTCCTCCGAGGAGGAGCAGGGAGGATGAGGATGAGAAGGGAGGCGGAGGAGGAGGAGGAGGAGGAGGAGGATGAGAAGGGAGGAGGAGGAGAAGGGAGGAGGAGAAGGAGGAGGAGGGGAAGGATGGGGAGGAGGAGTCGGGGGACGGGTGGGAGACGGAGAAGAGTTCGTTCTCGTCTGGCTGATCTCGGTGGGCGGCGGGGTTCCCAGTTTCACCGTGTCCCTGGGGTCTGGGTTTCCCAGCCCAGGCTCTCAAGTGTTCTGCTACGTCCCTGCGGCCGCCGTCAGAGTGAGAGAGGCGATGGCAGGGAGTAGAGAATATATCTCAGAGAGCAGATGGCAGATTTGAGTGGAGGGAGTCCAGAGTATCAGGAAGAGACTGGAGAGACAATCGATGTTGGGAGGGTTGATCAAGTAAACAGAGTGGTAGCAGGAGTACGCACATACATCTACACACATATACAGAGGGATAGAGATAGAGAGAGAGAGAGAGAGAGAGTCTGAGAGAGGAGTCTGAGAGAGAGAGGGAGGCGGGGCCGTCAGATCACCAGAACAGAACAGTAAGTATGTATGTCTATCGATATTGCACTTGCGAGCACGGTCAGAATGAGAGAGTAGAGAGTGGAGAGTACAGATCTGAGAGCATTGAGCAGAGTTGAATATCTGCATACAGAAACGGAGAGGGAGAGCGAGGGAGAGGTAGAGGTAAGCAGAGATATAGAAAGCATATGCATACGTAGTGAATCTGATGTAAGTAATGAACCATATCGTCCAGAGCGAGCTGAGAGGAGAGATACATTTAAATGGGTAGAGTGAGTCCACAATGCGTACACGCATGCATGTAGATGTACAGAAAGACGATTTATACGTACACAGAGAGAGAGGGAGAGAGAGAGAGAGAGAACGAGAGATAGAGAGAGAGAGAGAGAGCGAGGGAGAGATACAGTCGCAGAGAAGCGAGAGAGAGAGAGAGAGACCGACTGGGAGAGAGACGGACTGAGACAGAGCGAGAGGGAGAGAGTCAGAGATATATAGAGAACTGTGTCGAGAGGGACAGCATACCTTTCTATATACACAATATGTATACACCTGCCTGTCGGTCTGTACGTATGTATGTACCAGTTGCATGCGGCAAGTCCTGCCACCCTGTCAGCCAATTCTTTTGTTGGTGACAGCTGCTCGACTGAATGGTGATGCTGATCTGATGGCCATGATGACGATGCTGATTCCGGTGATGATGATGCTGATGATGATGGTGGTGCTGATCATGATGATGATGATGACGATGGTGACGGCGATGCTGGTGATGATGGTGATGCTGGAGACGACGACGATGATGATGCTGCTGATGGTGATGGTGATGGTGATGGTGATGACGATGGTGACGGCGATGCTGGTGATGGTGATGGTGATGATGCTTGTGATAATGGTGAGGACAGGAGGATGGGGAGAATGATGAGAAGGCGGGGGAGGTTGTAATGAGGAGTATTGCTTGGGGTGGGGGTTTGTGACATGATTGTCATGATCGTGGTTTGACGATCATGATGAGGGTTTTGAGGAAGAGAACAATGACGCCGGTGATGATGCTGAGGTGGTAATGATGCTGCGGATGACACCAATGATGATGCTGGTGGTGCTGATGGTGATGATGATGAGGACCCCAACGCCACGAATCAGCATGATTGTTGTGTCTTGACGATCCCGAATCGTGCCAGAACGCCGTTCTTGGGACTTCAACACCGCGAATCAACGTAACTGTTGAGATCTGACAAACCTGAATCGTTCCAAAACACCATGTCTGGTACTTTGACCAAGGAGGAGGAGGTTCGTGAGACTCTGGCAAATGTATAAACCGAATCTGCTCGGCGCCGAGGCGAGAGCCACACTTTGAAAACGAACTTTCCTTAAGTCCGTGAATCTCTTGCATTTGTTCAAACGAATGCTGTGGCGAGAGCCACATTTTGAAATGGGCCCGCCCTCCATATGTGAAGCTCTTGCAAAGTTTTGTGTGCGGCGCGAAGACGAGAACCGGATCTTGAAAGCGAGCCACATTTTGAAAATCACCCGCCCTCCATACGAATGTGCGCGGCGCTGTGGCAAGAGCCACATTGTGAAAACCACCTGCCCTCCATCTGCGAAGTTGTTGCATTTTTTTTTTGAATTTCAGGGTCATCGATGGTGAGGAAGTCTCAGGCGAAACGCCCGACCCGCCCTTTCGACTGGCCTCGGGGCGCGACATGGAGTAGATATTTATACGGACAAGGAATGGAGGAGGAGGAGGAGGAGGAGGTGGGACGCGGGCTCTTGTCTTTTCAAAGCGAGGACCCAACACCTCAGGATGTTTGGGAGCACCATTGCTTTTTGAAGATTTCGGCCACTTGGGCCGCCCTCCAGGGGCTCCAGGACGGCCCCAGAGGCGCCCACGAATGCTTCAGAGCAGTCCCCTGGGCCATCCGAAACCATGTTGGACATGCATCTCCCCAACGACGCGCTCTTGACCCCTCGGAAAGTCACGCAGGGAACCCCCTGGGAGCGCGCGAGAGCGCCTGGGAGCGCCCAGAACTCCGGGCTGTATTATATCTACCGTCTTTGATGCAGAACTCGAAGGCATTTGAGGGCACCTGCACGGTGACGGATGTATCTCTCTCTCTCTCTCTTTTTCTGTTTCTGTATATGTATAGTCAGATTTATATGTATATGTAGGTGTACATATGTTTATGTATATGTTTATGCATGTTAATGTCTGTATGCTTATGTCTATGGGTATGTGTAGTTGTATGTATATGTATATGTATATGTATATGTATAGGTATATGTATATTTCTATGTAAGTAGAACTGTGCATCTGTATATATACATATATATGACAACATTTACATAAATGATTGCATGTGCACATGCGTATGTAAATGTATGCGTATCCGTGTATCGAAACTTTTGTATGTCCGTCTGTAGGTATGTAAGTATTTGTATATGTGCAGTTTTGTGTCTGTGTATGTGTACATACATATGCATATGTGCATCTGTACATGTACGTGTATATGTACATGTTTTGTTATATGTATCTGCATGTGTATATGTGCATGCTTACGTACATGCGTATATATTCTTATATATATACATATATATATATATATATATATATATGTATATCCATGTATTTGTATGCGTATGCGTATCAGCAAATGTTTCAATCTATGTACAGGTATATGCATTCTTCTGCTTCTACGTAAATGTATAGGTATGTGTCTCTGCATCGGTATTTTCATACGCATATGAGCATGCACACGTATATGTACTTGGCACTTTCCAAGTATTGGCATATGCAGATGTAGGTGTTTGCGTCTATGTATATGTGCATGCAGATGTATACGCACAGTCATGTACATATGTGCATCTATGTGTATGTATGTACGCATGTGTATATTTGCATGCGTATATGCACGTATGAACGTGTGCCTGTCTGTATGTCTGTATGTGTATATTCATGCAAGCGTATGCACAGTTGAGTACACATACGTACATACGCACATACACACATACATACATGCATGCGTACAACCATGCGTATGTATGTATGTATGTTCGTACACACGTACGCATGTATGTGTACATGTATGTATGTGTGCGTGTATGTATGTATGTATGTTGGGATGTGTGTGTGTGTAGTATCATGTCACGTACAAGTTTTCCGGTTTACGTATCTGCACATGCAGTTGTGCATGCAAATGTATAAGCATATGCATATGCAATGTAACTGCATATGCATACGCATATGCAAGTGTACATGTACATGTACCCATCGGTCGTTGAAATGAGTTTTTTACTGGATTCCCAGAACCCAATCTACTTCAAGCGCCTCCCTATCTCAAGAATTGATGTGCTTCTGCTACGTTTTGTTGCTCGCTGGGCGGGCCCAGACCCAATCTACTCTATCCGCCTTCCTACTTCATGTTTCTACCTACTTCTTCCGACCGATGGGTCTATGTATATGAAGTCGTACATACATATGTATATGTATAGGCCTGTGTATCTGTATATGTAGGTGTGTATGTATCTACATATGTGTAGACATGCATATGTGTTCGTATATATTTATGTGCACGTGTACGTAACTATTTATGCATGTATGGAATGTAGATATTCATGGTTGTGTGTATATGTAGATTAGTAGGTCTGTATACGTATATGCGTATGTATATGTATGCATATGTAGGTATGCATGTATGAATACATGTGTATTTTTTTTGTGTGTATTTCTATACAAACATGTACATAAGCACATAGCTACCAACATACATCTGTATATACGTGTATGGCCTTCGGCCTATCCCGCCACCGTGCCTGGATTGTTGGTCAGTGTCCTCAGGGATGCTTTTGGGGGTCTCGTCG